TACTTGATATAATTAAAATGTTATATATTTATTATTATTTTTATCAAGTATGTAATAGAGCCCAGAGTCACTTTCTTGTGAGATAACCATCGATACAAATTTGACAAATAAATAAAATTACAGGTTCCAATTGAAGCATCACCAAATGGTATATCTCCTCTTAAACAATAATATTCCTCCTTCCTTCCTGCTTGATGAATATGTGCACTTACAGTGAAAACTGTAGCATCTCTATGCTGCCAGTACACAGAATAGTTGCATATGGTATTATAGCAACTTCTCTGAGTGAAAGACCATTAAAATAAATGCTGTTAATCTATAGCATTATGCTAGTGTATCATTGCTCCTTACTTAATGGATTTGAGATTTATTCAGGTGCAAATCACTATGTATTATTCTGATTCAGGGAAAGCACAGTCCAATCAAGCTGCATGCTCAATTTTTGAAGAAAAGTATTCTTTTCTCTCATTTGAAAGATCTCTAGGAGCCAGAAATACCTGTATGAAATGCAATTATCCACATATCTTTTGAAGAAAGAGATCAGGTAAAATAAGGTCACCAAATGAGATTAATAACCACTAAATATACTCTCAACTGATAATTCATTCTTCAAGTCAATGCAATGAAGAAAGTCAGTAAATTATACAGCTCTGAAGTCATGTATCAAAATGTTTCAAACGAAAAACAGTAAACAAAATTGTGATTTGGTTTTAGGGAACTTCAAATGAAAGCTAAGTAATATAATTCAAAAACTGCAGTATACCTTTCTGAGAATTATGTCAGGGAAACAATTTCTACTTTCACAATATTTGCTGTGAAGAGAGGGGAAATACATATTATACTTTTGCAATCAGTTGATTTTAAGATAACTGTCAGTGGGCTGATCTTTAGTCAAACAAACACATTAAACCTGAAATTGAAACATTGTTGCTAGCAGATCCCACTGAACAAAATGAAATAAATGTTATGCATTCTATCTGCAGAAGTCCTTCCAACTTGCTTTGAAGTAGAATTTACACTACCAAAATCACAGGACAAGACAGTGTGTATGCCATTGCATAAAAATAAATGGGTATTTTTCCCAAGAGCATGTGATATTACAGTTGAAATCTCTGTCCAGGTCAGTCATACACTCCCAATCTAATTTAACCTGTTTGCTGTAAATATATGGTATATGAACCATTGCATATGCAAACTTGAACTCCTTAGATGAGATGTGACATAACCAATATAAAAATTAAGAGTATACAGGAAACAGAAAATCTGTTTTGTTTTGAAACTAGAATACAATATCAGAAGTTCTGCCAAACAATTTTAATTGTTTGACTGTTGTGGAGTTTAGGTAAAATCAAATCTGAATGGATCAAGTGATGGAAGGCTGATGTGCATTGCCCCACTATCCCCTCTTCCCCTTAATAGCTTCCACTGAGGCTTACTCCAATGGCCAACCACTACTCCACACCTTTGCAGTGCCTCCTCTTCCCTACTTCCCGTCAGCTGCCTTCCAGATATCCCAGCACAGTATATTCCTCAGCCTATCTACACTTGACATGTGGAACACAGACCAAGCCCTTTGAGTTTTCTTGATCTCTGAAATAAATGGAGAGCATACTGTGGAATGTAGCCAACACTCCCTTGTACCCATGCGGGAGGGAAGGTGCTAGAATGAGTAAGTGGTGGACAGGTCAGCCAGTGTAATATGTTGTGCTATAAGACTAGTGGTGGCAACTGAGGGAGAAGGTAAAGGATGATGTTGGGAAGATTTGGGAATGGAGCACATGAATTAATGTCCATTGGATAGATGGGAAAAATCAGTGAAATATGCTGTTCTCAGTGCATGAACTAAATAAGTGCTTTGATTCAGTACAGATCACATGAAAACAGCTGTATTGTTGTTGTTAGTTGCGAAGTCATGTCTGACCCATCGCGACCCCATGGACAACGTTCCTCCAGGCCTTCCTGTCTTCTACCATCTTCTGGAGTCCATTTAAGCTCACGCCTACTGCTTCAGTGACTCCATCCAGCCACCTCATTCTCTGTTGTCCCCTTCTTCTATTGCCCTCAATCTTTCCCAGCATTAGGCTCTTCTCCAGCGAGTCCTTCTTTCTCATTATGTGGCCAAAGTACTTCAGTTTCAACTTCAGGATCTGGCCTTCTAAAGAGCAGTCAGGGTTGATCTCCTCTAGGACTGACCGGTTTGATCGCCTTGCAGTCCAGGGGACTCACAGGAGTCTTCTCCAGCACCATAGTTCAAAGGCCTCAATTCTTTGGCGCTCAGCCTTTCTTATGGTCCAACTTTCACAGCCATACATTGCAACTGGGAAAACCATGGCCCTGACTATACGTACTTTTGTTGGCAGGGTGATGTCTCTGCTTTTTAGTATGTTGTCTAGATTTGCCATAGCTTTCCTCCCCAGGAGCAAGCATCTTTTAATTTCTTGGCTGCAGTCCCCATCTGCGGTGATCTTGGAGCCCAGGAAGATAAAGTCTGTCACTACTTCCATTTCTTCCCCATCTATTTGCCAGGAGTTCAGAGGGCCAGATGCCATGATCTTGGTTTTCTTAATGTTGAGTTTCAAGCCAACTTTTGCACTCTCCTTCTTCACTCGCATCAAGAGGCTCTTTAGTTCCTCTTCACTTTCTGCCATTAGAGTGATATCATCTGCATGTCTTAGGTTGTCGATATTTCTCCCGGCAATCTTAATTCCACCTTTTTTTATCTAGCCCTGCCTTTCTCATGATGTGCTCTGCATATAAGTTAAATAGACAGGGTGACAGAATACAGCCTTGCCAGACTCCTTTCCGAATTTTGAACCAATCAGTGGTTCCGTGTCCAGTTCTCACTCACTGTTGCTTCTTGACCCGCATATAGGTTTCTCAAGAGACAAATAAGATGGTCTGGTACTCCCATCTCTTTAAGAACTTGCCACAATTTGTTGTAATCCACACAATCAAAGGCTTTAGCATAGTCAATCAAGCAGAAGTAGATGTTTTTCTGGAACTCCCTAGCTTTCTCCATGATCCAGCGTATGTTGGCAATTTGATCACTAGTTCCTCTGCCTCTTCAAAATCCTGCCTGTACTTCTGGAAGTTCTCGATCCACATACTGCTGGAGTCTAGTTTGTAGGATTTTAAGCATAGCTTTACTTGCATGTGAAATGAGTGCAATGGTGCGATACTTTGAACATTCTTTGGCATTGCCTTTCTTTGGAATTGGAATGTAAACTGACCTTTTCCAATCCTGTGGCCATTGTTGAGTTTTCCAAATTTGCTGGCAAATTGAGTGTAGCACTTTTACTGCATCATCTTTTAAGATTGTGTACAGACAAACAGCTGTATAATGCACATAATTGTCTGTACACAGAATATTTTACATTTCCTGTAAAAATGTAAACAGATGAAAAAACCCTCTGATTTAGTCTTTAATTTGTAATTTTATTACTACCACAAATTATTTGGACTAAACAAAAGAACATTTTTCCCATTTGACTTTCAAAAGGTATGTGAATTGGCAGGAAGTTTTGTTTTAAATCATCTATTTAGCTGGCAGGACTGCCTGTATATATTTTGGTTTATTACATAGTTACGTATATGATATTTTTACACAAAAGAAAACTGACATCAGTAGACTTTCATTAATACATCAAGTATATAGCTTTCTGCCAATTAGTATAAACCACAAGTGAATATCTCCTTCAACTGGAATACCAAGTGAAAGCTATGATGAAAAAGTTAAATGGATGAGGTACAATATAAATGTAAATGAAATACTTCCCCACAAACATGTATATGCTGCTAACATGCATTATAAAACCTACTCATCAATGATGTAAAAATATGGCTGAAAATACAATCAGGAATCTTGTATTCTTTACTAAGCATATTTCTATAGACATAATAGAATGGACACAGAAAGATTTGGTGACAAAATTATTAAACATCTCATCCCTGGGATAGAAATGCTAATTATGTTAATAGTAGAACTTTTGAAGGTAATAATTGGAACAGAAAATAAATTTAGGTGGTCAATTCTAGCAATAGCTAATATCTTCTTGAGACAACTATGTTGATGCTTCTTTTTCACAATCAGCTTCAAATATTAAAGCCCTTTATTTAGAAAATAGAATGGCTTAATTAGAAGACCACAAAGCATTTGATGACTCCAGATTGCTTTACATAATTTGTAGTTAGTTCCACTGTTGATCTTAAGAAAAAATATCAGCCTTAAGTAGGCTGATATTTGAATTCCAAACTCTAGCAATGTATAATTCAAGCACTATCAGAAATATATTTAAAATCACTATTTACAGTGATACCTTGGTACTCAACTGCTTTGAAACTCATCGAATTTGATGCAAAAATTTTGTCCCGGTACTTGTTAGTTGTTTGGTACTCGACGCACAAGCTAAAACTTGTTGACTCATCACATTATTCCTTATGGGGAAAAATTGTTTGATACTTAGCATTTTTGCTGTTCATCACACTTTCCAGAACCAATTAATGACGAGTACCAAGGTACCACTGTACTTGAAAAAAAGGGAGAAACCCCTTCATTACTAACTAAACATCCATGAGAAAACCTGCTTTTGAAAGATGGCATACAAATTTTGAAAATAAATAAAGTAAGCAAAGAAGGATGCACCTAAGCTCTTAATAAGAACAGTTCCTTTCACTAATTTTTGTAGAAGATGCTAGCTGCTGAGAACTGCCAGATTGCCACAGGTTATAAATTAAATAAATACAAATAAATACAATAATCTATATTAAAAGCTGCAACAAGTCCTTAAAGCTGATTCAACAGCCCAATCCTATATTTTCTTTATTGACTCTTAAAGATTAAGCAAATATTCCAGGCTATCAGTATAAGGTGCTAATTGGATGTTTATAAATTAAAAGAAATGGTCATTAGCCAAAGAGACATTGCTGAATAACTAAACAGTTTTATCTGTTCATTCCCAAAATGTTTCCCAATGAAATTATGTAGACTAAGCAATACTTACTACAACACCATTGTTTGTGGTAGTCTCACGGTATGTAAAATTGCAAACAGCCCAAGCTAAGTAATATGTGGACATGAGTGGAGTCTGTGAAAAATGATCCGTAACCCATCCATCTTCTTCAGAAACAGAAGTTTCCACTGGCATATTGGACAAAGATAAATAAGTTGCTTGATGTTTGATGCTGATTTTAAATGTGGCCTTGTAGATAGGCTCATCAAAGCAAGGAAAGGCTTTTCTGGCATGTGTAGGTGAAAACTGCGTAACTGCAAGAAACCTAGAAGGAAAAAAATGGTTTTATTCAGAATTGGATGCAAAAAAAAAAAAGTAAAATATTGCAATGCAAAAGAGGGCCAGTTTGGACTTAGTGGTTAAGAAACTAGGCTAGAAACCAGAAGCCTGTAAATTCTAATCCTGCCTTAGATCAGCTGAGTGACGTTGAACCAGTTGCTCATACTCTCTCTGCCCACAATATCAGACTTGAGTGATAATCGGTCAATTTTTGCCAGTCAACTCCCAATGGAGCAACACTTGGTTGATCTGAAAAAAGGATTAACTTGCAGGAAATTTGCAATAAAAAAAAGAGCAACAGCAAAGTCATTGTGAAGCTTTGTCAATATTTCCCCCTCCCCTTTGGATTAAAGTTATTTGGTTTTGAATGACCTTTTATTGTGTATAACTAGAATTATTATAGCCATATCTGTATTTATAGTTTTTTTTTATAAAAAACACGTTTTCTTGAATTTGAGAAAGTGTTTGAAAGAGCAATAATATGCAACATAAAACCAAAATTACATTTAACACTAGAGAAAATATTTATCTGATAATTCTATCAATATGGTTTTTAAAAGCCCTTGGGGTAACTTACAAAATGCTGCAACCTATAGCAGAATCTTAGACAGGAATAAATCCAGGAAAAATAAAAGCAAGTTAACTATAGTTTACAATTATATTAATGATAGAATTACATTTGGGGAACTCTGTAGGAAAGTAATAATGCACTCTGATTTCATAATGCTGTCTAGTTGCTTTCTTGCCTAAGAATACTTGATGCCTTCAATTCAGTGTTGACTTCTGACAACTGTCTGAACAAGTCCCTGCAGTTTACCTGGCAAGATTTCATTAATGGTTCGCCATTGCCTGCTTCTTAAAACTGAGTGTGTGTGATTGGCCCAAGGTCACCCAGTTGGCTTTGTGGTTAAGACAGGACTAGAACTCATGGTCTCTTGGTTTCTAGCCTGATTCCTTAACCACTATACCAAACTGGTTCTCATAAGAATACTTTGGAAACTGATGTTTTTACAAGCAAAGTTTCAGTAATATTACCAATTTAAGGTATTTGCTAGATGCCAATCTTGCCCCACCAATAATAATTCCCTGATATTTTACTATTTGTAGCATTTATCAAATAGAAATATTGAGAAAAAACTTTGTCAAATATATATATAACCATTGGCTTAATTCAAAGAGCATTATGTACAGTAAATTTGGGGCTAGCTTTTCCCTCTTTATTTGCCCATTAAAAGAAGGACTGAAAACCTCTACTTTTGGTTCTGAATATATTGCAATTCCAAATTACAAAACAAACCAGAAACAAGGATTGTTTTCAGAGCCAGGGTTGTTAACTAAAATAAAGCACAATTTGCTAAGTTGGTTGTAATGGGATATTGCAAATTAGTCAGTCAAATCAATCAACATCGGAATTAAAAATAATCTCATTTTCAAACCTGCAGAAAGAGAAGAGGAACATGGAATCCCATGGCCATACTATAGCATTTTGTTTGTACTTGGCTTTATCTAATTCCACTGGAAAAATACATATTTAATGATGGAAGGGTGGTGAATGTTTAAAAATAATTGAAAATTAATCCCCATTCTATATGTTGACATGCCCACACATTTATTCCTCATATTGTAACAACAGCTAAGACTCTGACTGCTTGTTTTACTGAGTTGAAGGATTTAAAACCTCCATTTTATTTCTGTATAATTTTTGTATTTCTTTTTCATTCAAGAAGAAAAAATTCTGTATAACAGAGCTACAAAGCTGATGGAAGTTTTGAAATTTTGATCAATTTCTTTTAACCATACATTTGCATGAGATTTAGGCAAAACATGATTTTAATTTATATTGGTGTATACATCTGACAATATTTTCTATAGTCTTCAGAGACCAAATATTACTACTATTTTTCAAATAAATGCACATAACTTTCACAAATGAAACAGGTCTCTATTAAAACAACACTTTTAAAAGTTTGATCATTTCTACAATATTTATATTTCTGTAATCATTTCACTGAAAATTCAAGACATGTTCTAAATTATTAGATGTTTAAATAAATACTAAATCCCACTTGTTTTCTTATTAATGCCTCTTCATGTTCCCAGACTACTTTTAAAAAAATTCAAGTTTCTTGTATTTTAATTGAGTAATATTTTCAAGTATTTAGTTCTTCAACTTGGCATAATCTCAAAACCCTCATTAAAAAGAATTATTAAAATTCCTACAATAAAAGCTAAATCATTACACTGACTTTAAAAATTCATTGTGATAAGTTGAAACATACATGATAATTGAAAATATACATTCTAAAATGATTAATGATATAATTATTTCAAATTAAAACCTGTCAAAGCTTACCCACCAAGTGGTTGTTTTATGTAATTCCAAACTGCTGATGCCAGAATATCTGGAGCAAAATTAATTGCAGAACTAAATTTTCAGTCAGAGTGGATGAACTGATGTGGGCATTCTTTAGATCCATAATAAGTATCAGAAGGACCAAATTGAAAAGTTGCTTTTTAAAAATTATTTATAGATGAAACTGATGTTGACCTGGTGATAATTTCTGCCTCATGAAAGATTTGCAAATGCCATTCTTAGCCCTCAAATACTAAATTATATGTGTGAGAGATCAATCATATCTTTGTATTAACTTCACCGAGCATAAATAATTATGTTCTAACACATTGTGCTCTATGTGCTGAATATAAATGAAATGCAGTAAAAGCTTATTTATATATTCTGATATTTGTTGAAAGTAAAGATGAATTAGAGGATTAAAATGTATTCATAGCTAGTGGCCCTTGTGGGGTACTTAATAACATGGTGGTTTTAATATATTAGAAAGCATATCTTGACTTTCAAGTCATTTATTAGAGCAATGCAAATAGAAGTCTGTGATCCTGCATATGCTTTGCTTAAACTTCAGAATTTACACACATATTAGCTGATAACAGGATTATATCCCAAATGTGTAATTATGGGAATGAAAAACTTACAGGATGGCTTTCTTAAATGCAGATGACAGTAATTTGCATGTATTTTAATTCTACCTTTTCTATTAAAAAGGCAGACATATTTCCTAAAACATCTTGCTAGGAATTAGTTTTGAAAAGTAACAAAGCTGTTAAGATTGAAAGAATTGTTTTATTCTAAATACATACAAAATCAGATACCCAGTTCATTTTTAGGACTATCTGTATATGATGTCCCTTAAAATACCTTTATGTCAATGTACAATGTATATATGGTACAATGACAACTAAAATCACTTTTATTGTAGTATTTTGATTTTACTTTAGACCATCAAAGATTAAATTATCTCTATAGAAAAATTAGCATTTTTAGAGTCTCACCAATATTTTAGAAATATTTATGGTATTTGCTGATATAGTCAAGAGATTAGCCCTATCTTCCTTTATCTATCTTTATCATTTTTATGGAAAACTGAGGATTACAAAACTATTGGATCAAATGAACAGATAAAGGAAATATATGTCTATTAAAGTTAATTAAATATAAACAAGTCAAAGGATATACCTGCTTGGGATCCATTATTTATCATTAGGCTATTTCCAAAGAATGTTGACTGATATTTGTATGCTGATTACTAATTTTCTTAACTGCTACATAATCTCATGAAAACTCTGAAATCATTTTAATTATAGGTCATCCTGTTTCCAACTGTTATAGGGTTGCCAAACTTTCAGGCATATTTTTCCACAGAAATGTATTCTAGATCATGATTGCCAAATAAAGTTCTGATATTTCAAAAAGAAAACATTAAACAATCCAATGAGGTCTATAATTCAAAAATACTTTACTTCTCTCTCAGAAAAGTACAAAGTGCTTGATCCTCTCTATGTGAGATTAAGTATTGATCTGTTGACTTAAATAGAGCTGGACCAATTTACAGCAATTTAAAATTTTGTTTTGTGCAATCCTTTGATTACAGAACAATTCTATAACAGTCTACTCAGAAGAAAATGCCACAGTATTCATTGAAGATTATTTGCAGATAAATGGGTAAAAAAATGCAACATAAATGTATAATCAGTAAACAACTGTGTGAATAGATAATATATCAAAAACTATTGGTATTATTTCTTCTATGTGTACATACACTTAGACTTCTTTGTAATTATTATATTACTACATGTGCATTGATTACTTATAATTTTGCCACAACCTTTCAATTACTTCTTTGCACTTGCCATTTTTTTATTTTTAATGTTTTATTGTAATTTCTTGTTTTCATAGTTGTAGCTTCCAGAGTCCACTTCCACAGAGTTTGGTAGCAAGCAAGTTTAATAAATTATTATATAGCTTAGAAAGGTAATTTGCCTCAAATTATATTTCTCTGTGGAGATACATTAGAAAGCATATCATAACTATAACATCATTTATTAAAATAATGAAAATTGAAATCTGTGATCCTGTATATACTTGCTGCATGAAGAATAGAGGTAATATCCTTTCAATGGATCCTTATGCTGAAAAATCTTTTCACACATTTTGAGGAAAGTTATATATACAGAATGTTGGCATAACTAAGGTGAAGGCATTCTCACTTTTTGGATGGCAATGGTTTAAGTAAACTAGTTGCTCAAGAGAAACTCTCAAATTATGAGATGTACAGAATAAGATTAAGGTTGGATTTTCAATGATGTTCAGTATGAAAATAAATTCATTTTATTTTTCTGATAACAAAGTTATTATAAATTTAGTTCTGCTTGCTTTAAGCTAAAGCTTTCTTTAGGGCTGGGCTCTGATCTTTGATCTGCTGAACAAAAAACCTAAACCTGTTCTTAACAGACCTGGTCTATAATGTGGTTGAAAAGGGAAATGAACTATTTAAGAGTGATCTCTTCTTACTATAGCATTAGTGGTCTAAAATCATAAGAAGGAAAGGAGTGATTTTCTCTATTTGAAATTCAGCTTCTGAAACTTCCCCTTCATTGTTTCTGCTCTCCCAGCAAATCCATTTTTACTATCAAGCTGGTCTAAACCACCACCCTTAATTGTAAAATATTTACACAAACTTGCTCTAAAATTCTCAACAGGTTTACTAAAGTCCTTTGCAGCCCAATCAAATGTACAACAAAATATTTTCTCAATATACTGTAGATGGTACTCTAAATCCATCTCAGCAAGAAAAGCTTCTTTACATTCTATAAAACTAAATTCCTTTTATCTCAATGTTTATGCTTGTTGATGTAAACAAATGCATATGGAACAATGTCAAGTTAAAAAGAATTGACTAATTTCTCTTACAGCAACAGTAACCAATTTGCAGCCTTCAGATACTTTTTAATGGCATTCTATCAGTGAGCTGAAAAACCAAAACATTGGGAAGACACCAGGTTGCCTATCCCATCTTGGACCTTATGTTGAGTTGTAGGAAATAGTGGCTAGTCAAATACAGCTCTTACAGATTTGAATAACACTTGCAAATTATTCTGTTAACATCCCAGGGTCAATTACTGTTACAAGCTATGAGTAGTAAAATCCACTTTCCTACCAAGGACACAGTTGGGAAAAAAACCTAATGAAGTACAATGAATTGTTCCCCTTTTTCCTAGGATTGCCACACAGGATTCTGATAGGTTTGCCTTTTTGTGAAATGAAACCAAGAATAAATGCAGGGAGACCCCATTGTGCAGATATAGGTATAGCAGAATAAAATTACTTTGCTATTAGTAATGCTATAGTAAGAAGAGATCTCTCTTAACTGCATTTCAGAATTAAAATATCCTAAAACAAAGAAGTATGATATTCAGCCTTAAAATACTCTATAATATACTTGCATTATTCTGCTTCTTTTATCTGGTTCTCTTTGAACAGGAAAGTCTATACACACTTTAAGCCAGTGAATAAGCTGCAACTGGAAGGACAGTTAAATTCCAAATTTAATTGATCAGATCCTGACTAAGTAAAATCTGAACTTTGCTGGAGGTACAGGACAGAGTTTAAGTAAGGTCAGATGGAAACTTCTGCAGAAGTTTAATTCAAGTATATTTAACTCCAAACATATCCATTTCTGACACTTCAGGAGATGTATTAAAGACGCTTATAAACTCTTTTATGTTCTAAGATAAAATGTTAAACTAAAAAAATAAAGTTTTGGGGGTGCTGGGGAGTTAAACTTTTGGTTAACATGAGTATATATTAACAGAAATGGTAACTTTACGCAGGAATTTTCAGGAAGAACTTGTCATTCCGACTTTACACAATAAAGAAAGGAAGGAGGATAAAGAAAGGGCAAGCATGGAAAGGAGATCGATTCCTACCTTCTTTCTCCGTAGAGGACGTAAGAGCTGCGGAAAAATCCCAATAGCTCGTTCTCGATCGGAGCGTTGTAGAGGATCTTGAGGTTGTAACTTCTCTGTTCCTCTAAGCTCCGATTGAGGACTATCACGAAGACCTGGGTCTGTGGATAAAGGAAGAAGCCGGAGACGTTCAAGGCACCGGCCAGCCGGTCCTCAGCCAAGCGGACTGCTTCGATGTGCATGCGGTGGGCGTGGAGAACGATGTAACGGGTGGCGTTGAGACACTCGACTTGCACGTTGACCTCGCCGCTGAAGGTGAAGTTCTCCATGAAGACGCTCAGCATCAGGTTGTAGTGGAGGGGGCGCAGGTGTCCGGGAAGGCGCAGCTGGGTCCAGGGCTGCTGCTCCCGCCGCCTCGGCCACTCCTCTTCCTCCCCTTCCCCTCTAACAGCTTCCAGCGCCACTGTCTCTTCCCCTGCACTTCCAGGGGTTTCCCCGGCGCTGTTCTGGTTCAAGCGGGCACTTCCTGCTGGGGCTGCGGCGGCAGGTGCCGCCGGGACACTCCGGTTGCCCGCCCTGCCTCCTGGGCCGTCAGACGCGGTGCCGCTGCTGCACTCCTCGATGCGCACGCTGAGCAGCACAGCGATCATGGTGACCACCAGCAGGGCCAGGATGGAGATGGCGAAGCCCATCACCAGGCGCTTGTGCACCGTTATATGTCGCTCGGTGGTGCGGGGTCGAGCGGCCGCCGCGTCTGCCCACTGGCCCGAGAGCCCCCTGCCGCCGTTCCTCAGAGCAGCGTCCTCCTCGATCATCCTGGGCACGAAGGATCAGCTCTTCTGACGCTTCTCGGCCAGGAACATCAAAGTAGCGCCACCCTTGGCTCCTCCCGCAGGGTTGCCACCGTCCCCCGCCGGGGCCAGGAACACATCGGAGAACGCCGAGCGGAACCGGGAGCGGCGGGAAAGACGGGGAAGCACCTAGCAGAGCAAAAGCCCCCCGCTTCTCTTGTTGCCGCCTCCCCGCCTCCTTCTGCCGCAGCCGCTGCGGGTGTCACTTTACGAGGAGCCCTTCGCACTCCCTAGGAGCAGCCCCGGCGGCCGAAGGAAAGCTCCCCGTGCCCCATATGGGAGGAAGGCGGGAGGAGGAGCCGCGGAGAGGGACTGGAGCAGCGAGGGCTTCAGGCGCCGGGCGTTCTCTTCTAGACTGACTGTGAGCCGTTTCCCGGTCAGCACTGGAAGGAGCGGGTCTCGTGAAGGTCCAGCGAAAAGAGCCAAGAGCTCCGGTTGGCCGCGTCCTCACTCTCCACAGGCTACTTATGCGCTCCCTCAAACTCGCCGCGCCACAAACTCTCCTCCCACTCAGCCCCTCTTGACTTAAAGGGTCCGCGGTTTGCTTCGCCGGCGCCCATTTTTGCCTTGACGGCTCAGGCGCTCCCAAGGGAAAGAAGAGTCCGAGGCGAAAGGGATCTTGGCAAGGAAGAGGAAGACGAACCAGGAGCTGACTTTTCAATTCCGCGCAGCTTTGGCGTCTGGGCGCCGGCAGGCACCGTTGTGCACGGCGGCTCTGTAAGCAGAGAGTCTGTAACCTGCGCGTCTCTGTGAGCGCGCGAAGCTTGACTGGGCTGCCTGGGCACCTGGGGGCCCCGCGCTCTGCCACGAGCTTGGAGTCCGTGGATTGGAAACAACCCCCGGACTCCTGAAGAGAACTCGTCGACAGAAGAAGTCGGAGCAGGTCGGTCGTGGCCGCCGCACCTGAATGGCACAACTATATTATTCTGAAAAGGCCTGGCTGAGAGACTTGGGAAAGTCCCAGGAGGCTGAGCAAGGAGGGACAGGTTAGGGGGGGGGGTAGAACGAAATCGGCGCGCGACCGGCCGGCTTGTGTTTAGCTCCTCTCGCACACTACAGGAGACGCGCGCGCACACATCGTGCAGCAACCACCAATAAGGTCTATGGAACCATTCCTGGCACTGACTCTTTTTGAGCGGGCGGGGAGGGGGTGGCACATACCACGGTTTACTTGAAAATGCGTTTGTCGGAAGAGGTACAGAGAGCGAGCAAGGCTTGACGCTGTTGCGACAAGTGGCCTCTTAGGGACAAATCTTGAGCTAGCGGTCATAAATTTGCTCCGTCGCGAGATTTCCCCCCCCTCTTTACACACACACACACACACACGTTCAGTATGCATACACACGCATGCATGTTCAGCATGCATATACATGTATTTATATATGTTCAGCATGCATATACACACACATACATGTTATCTATCATCTATCTGTCTGTCTGTCTATCCTGAACATTTATAAATACATTAGAATGACAGCCTGTTTTATAAGTTAAATCTATAGGATCTGTTCAAAGCAATGCATTTACCCAGGAATTGAATCTTTCCTATGGTCCCTGAGTATTTGTTCACAAGTTTTGTCCTGAATAATCAATATAATGCAATAAGAAATTAGCTCCCATCCTAAGAGGTGAAGAATTCTTCCTTGTATTTACCTTTTAACATGTGAATGTGCTCTTCAGTGCAAACTGACTCAGAAGCAGGCACGCCATGGAGTGTAACTGTGCCAATATCTTTATGCTGCCAGAAACACACTTTGCACTGAGTCAGAATATAAATATATCTTATTAATACAAGTACTTTTCTTGCTATTTAGAGATATTAGAATGAGCAAAGTTAAACCTTAATAGAATATATTATTCCTCAAATATCACCCTAATCCATAACATACCATATTTACCATATTTGGTGAACAAAACATATTAGCAATGTGGTTTATAAACCCAACTTCATGCTTAGCACCTCTGTAAATGGATATTGAAGTCTACTCACCAAAGCTTAAAATAAACAATGGTTTAATATGATGTATGAACCAGCCTACAAATTTAATGTATACAAGACATCTGAAGCACGCCAGACAAGTATCTTAATAATAGTAACAATATTCCTCAATTGACATGTATGTTCCTGATTCTCGTGGTAGTTTGTTTTCAGTGAGTACTTCAAGATTAACATGGAGAACAATCTTGCATATCCTGCTGGAACTCATAAGTGATATCCCAAGTCTATTGTCTTTAATGCTATTTGTAAATGAATAAGCAGGATATAAAATAAATATTCATTGGCGTCCCCAAATATAAAAGCTTAATAACAAAGAACAATATTTAAGGGAACTAGTACTATACCAATGAAATTTTGATGGAAAAAAGGCAACCAAATTACTTCATAGCCCATTATTCTTTTTGTAAGTATTAGACCTGTTTAATTTATATGCAGGAGCTAGCTAAGTGTTTTTAAAGGTGAAAGTGAAGTCTTCAAATTGACCTGTCAGATATGTTTTTAGTCAGATATCTATAACTGAGCAGCTGTCTATGAAATGTGTAAGCAATTCACTACAGCAGCCCCTGCAAATCTGAAATTATGATAAAGATAATTTGTGTCAGAAAGTACTTGTGATTCTAGAGAAATTCATACTTCAGTAGTTCCCTATTAAGCAACCAATGTAGAATCAACCTTATATAATAAATGTACTTTTATTGTGATGGGAAGGAGCTTACATAGTAAATGCCAGTGGTCAGTTATTTTGGTCTAATAACGTGCCTTTAGCTGGATTGAAAAAATGTTTACAAAAGTTTGCAAACCCAAATGTAAAAACCTCCTTCAGTCATGATAAGCTGACATAGGCACTAAACATATATTTCCAAATCCTTAAAAACTAAAAATTAAAGGATAGGAAAAAAGACAAAGAACGTAAGAAAAAATCAAAGTCTGAGTCTGCAGAAGAATTTGTGCATGTTCTAAAATACCTCTCTGGAAAACTGAACCAAAACTGAACCAAGAATGTGTGAAGAAAATGCCTCTATTCTAGTAAATGAAGAAAACGCTTCTTCGTAAAACAAAGCAAAGTTCTCTTTCAAGCATTATAGACACAAGATTCATTTCCAAATTATTTCATCGTTCCTAGGTCTATATTTTAACACTGGCTACATTCCAGTTTCATATTTAGTAAATACATTGTTTTTTATTAATTTTTTGTACTATCCCTTCAATGTACATTATATTTTCAAAGATCTGATGTTATGCTTTCCTATCTGGAGGACCATTTGCAGTCTAAAATAGATGCAGAAACAACAGAGAGATGTCCTCCTACGACATAAATATAAATAAACACAGTATATGAAAGCAAGGGCAAAACAAGTTATTTTCTTATTGTATGTTCATTGGGATACAATAAGGTAAATAGAACAATACTCCAAGGATGGTAAGGAAATAATTAGTTTTGAAAGGTGTGTTAAAATATAAAATCTGAATTGTGACATTCTTGGAGGGAATTCAACACACAGGGATCAGCAAAAGGGAATAGAATTGTTTTACAGAGCAGGCAAACTTTGTACGACTCAGGATAGTGAACCTGGATGGGCCAGGATGAAAGTACAGGCAGGTAAGGAGTAGAGAGCCCATGAAGCTTTGAAGATAAGGACAGAAAGCTTAATGAGGATGGATGATTGAAAGAGGAATGGTTTGAGAGATATGGTCAAGAATTGTAAGTAAAGTGCTATAAGGTTATAAGAATATAGATGAGTCAATAGAAGTACAAAGAGAAGGATACTTCAAAGGATATTCATATTACAGTTATTTGGGATAAATGTATATTTTTTAGTGAAAAATCAATTCTTCAAAAACAAGTGGGTGGACAAAGATGCAAATGTAATTTAAAACATTTATATTCAGATTTTCTGTAGAAACTCTGCAAGACAGTTGCTATCATGTTATTCAGTTGGTTGGGGGGGAATCACCACTTTTCCAATTTCGGCATTATTTTTTAAAAAGGCATCCTAGGAATTCAGAGTTAGGAACGCAAACACAATCTTATGATTCACCACTTTACTACCACTTTGACATTTTATCATTTTTGATAGAGGCAATAGTAACTATAGAGCAACTGAGAGAAATCTGCTGCATCAAATTACGGTAGTATGCCTTTTAACCACACTAATTCAATATTATCAAGCAAACTATTTCCTAGGAAGTATATACTATTAATGTAAATAAATACAATTAGAATACTTCTAATTATGCCTTCCTTATGTGACCTGAGTTGGCCATTATAAGAAAGTATCTGGGGAAGTTCAATCATAATCTGATCCAACAATTCTCTTTCATTAAGGAGGTTTCAACATATACCATTAGAATTATTCTTTTGTGAATTTAAGATTGCAGCGTGCATGGGAGAGGATCAAAACACTATGGGATGATTGCTTTATATTCTGCAAGTCTTAGAGTATTTTATTTACTGTGATAAGTTCATAATTAAATCACTGAACATATTGACCTCTGTGATGCTGCTGGAAGTTAAAGGTCCAACTCTGTTATTTTACTATAGTTTAAAATTCTGGGCCCTTCAATATGTTATATGTGTGTGATTACTTTTGGGAGCTGCAGGGCTTCACATGCTTTAAAACGTCATTCCTCCTGGATAAGATGTTTTAGAACACAGCTGGACTCATTTCAGATAATGTAATTCCCATTTTATGTAAAAATGCAGAAGTAAATTAGACCAGCAACATAAGACTGATTTTCTTTTTGTTAAGATGAAATTATTTTGTTATGGTGAAATTATTTGCCATTTATTTTTTTAAAAAAACTTGATAAAGTAGAATTTTTAACTATATACCATATAGATGGGACAATTCATTTATGGGGATGAACCTATCTCAATTAAGAATTATAACATATATTTTCAGGGATAGATAATTTTAATATTTATGCTCCATTTTTCTGTTTTATGAGTGATTTTGGACATTTT